CCCGGCGGCGGCGGCGGCGGCGAGAAGGCTGGGGGCGGCCCGGAGTCCAGGTAGTAGGGCGCGGGCGGCGGCGGCGGCGCGGTCTGCGGTGGGGGCGGGATGCCGCGGCCCTCACGCACCGAGTCCTGCATGGACGTGCTCCGCGGGAAGCGCCCCTCCAGCAGAGAGGCCAGCTTCTCGTCCTCCCCTGCGAACGACGGTCCCCGTGAGCCGGGCTGAGCCCCCTCCAATCCCGGCCCCGGCCCCGCGTTCTGCCGGCTCGGAGTGGGGTCGGGGCTGGTCGGGGGAGGCAGGGTTAGGGCTGGCCCAAGCCACGCGCTGGGTGCAGGGCATTCCAGTGCGCAAGGCTCAGCTCAGCTGTAAGCTGAGGGAGGCCCGGCTGAGGCGGCTCTGGGAAGGACCCCAAACTGCCCACACCTGAGGATATCGCCGCCCTGGAGAAGACACGCCGGGAAAGAGGCGGCGCCCTGGGCGTAGGGAGAACGGAGACGGGCTGGAAGGGGCTTGTGCAGGGCTTCCCACCTAAGATGGAGCAGAGCCCTCTGGGAGGCAGCCAGAGGTGCGAGGGAGATGGCGGATAGTCAGAAATGAGAGAGGTAGTAACTGCGGGGCCACGGCCCACAGCCGCAGTGGATGCAGACAAGGGGTGGGTTACAGCCCCGGGGAGAGGCTCCTCCCAGGGCCAGCATGCTGTGGTGGGTGGGAGGAAGAAGGATGCATTGCAATGGAACTGTTCAGCCGGGCACCCCGTGCAGGTTTTACCCGTTAGCTGTGTGACCTCAGGCCAGGAAGGGACACTCTCAACCTCAGTTCTCTCAGGGCCAGCACAGGCTGAACAAGACCCCTCCCATGCGCAGCCCAGGCCTGGCTGGCTTAGACATCACTAGGGGTCTGTGCAGGGAGGACCCCAGTGCCCGGGACCCCATCACCCTGCTGCCAGCTCGCGCCTGACAGAGCCTTCCGCGTTCCTGTGGACATAACGTGGACGCCTGTGCAGGAGAGCAGCAGGCCTCACTCGCTGTGGTCAACATTTTTGTGAACTCACCACCCTGCAGACTGCCTGCTCCCCACCACAGTGCTGATGAGGCCGCTGCACAGAAACTGTAGCTTGGGGCAGGAACTTGGGCTTGAATTCCAACCCTACCAGGGTGTGATCTTTCTTAACCTCTAGAGTTTCCCCCTCTTAAGAGGACTGCCTGCCCCTGTCTCAGGGTCACTTAAAATTTACAGTGGAAGGCTGAACTGGTAGCAGCGTCCTAGGATGGAAGCCGAGATTGTCATCCGCATTATTTTTAGGTCTGCCTCCCGCCTGCTGCTGGACACAGAATCTGTGCCCAGCTTCCCCTGGTCTCCTCCTTGCTGCGTTTCTCCCCGTACATCTGAACACCTACAAGCCTGTGCATCAGCTTGAAAAACTAGCGCACCTCAAGGGTGCTGAAGGCGGGGGTGACGTGTGAAGATGAAGAAGGGAACAAGTTCTTATGTCAGGCAAGAAGTCACTGCTGCCGCATAGGAATAGGGACTCCACTCTGGCACCACTGTGGGGGAGGGGTGGCAGGGTCCCCTGGGGCAAAGGCAGACCCTCTCTGCTCACATACGGCAGGAGCGCCTCTTGAGCACTCGCAAGATGTAGGAGCTGTTTCTCCTAATGCGAACAGTCACTAGGCATTCCCTGGGCACCAAGCACAGACCGCAGCCTGCATATGAGCTGTGCTGGGAGCTCGGCGCTGGGTGATCTCCTTGCTCTGGGGTCACACAGCCAGGACACGCAGTGGGAGCCCACAGAACCTGACAACTCAACCCACACTTGGCTGGCTGGGTACAAGATGAGCACCCGGGGTAGGCACTGCACGACAGGTTAAGCCGCCATTTGAGACATCAGCATCCCACATCAGAGTGCCAGCTACTCAGCTTCCAACCGGCTCCCTGATTCTGTGCCTGGGGAGCGGGGAATGATGGCTCAAGTACTTGAGCTCCTGCCACCCACACGGGCGGCCTGGATGGAGTTCCTGGCTCTTGGATCCGGCCTGACCCAGTCCCAGCTGTTGCAGCCATTTGGGAAGAGAAACACTAGATGGAAGATGTGTCTCTCTCTCTCTGCCTTTCAAAGAAACTTATAAATATTTAAAAATGCAAGCACCTGTCAGCTCACACAGCAACTGAGCGCAGGAGCATGCAGGAGGAACCAGTGAGGAGCAGGCGTCCATCTCTGCTGCGAGGCTCCGGGCTACAGAGCAGATGTGTGGATCCGCACCTGCAGCGGTCAGTTCTGGGACTGGGCAGCGCTGAAGGACAAGCCATGTGGGAAATGACGGCAGGCAGGGGACAGCAAGTGAAGACCCAGGTCAGAGGTCCCCAGATGCCAGGGGAGGGCAGGGCGGAGCCCCCAAAGGGCCATGGGGGAGGGTGGCCCCCCTGCTGCACAAAGTGGCTTCTGGCCAGGACAGACTCCAGTCTGGGCAGGAGACCATGAAGCGAAGAAAGCCAAGGTCCACATGCAATTCGACAAGGCCTCTGCTGGACAGGGCTGCGAGGCTTGTGAGGGGGAGCCCACCCCCAAGGCAGGTGAGGTGGAAGATAAGGAAGAAACCATGGAGGACACGTGGGGCTCAGATGGAGAAGGGGGCAGCCTCCCGACTCCACAGTGGCTGCAGTCTCACTACCTTCGGCCCCACCTTCCCACCCCCGAGAAGGATCCTTGGCGGTTGCTGAAGGACCATGCCTTGTGCCTGTGCCTTCTACACGCTGCTCTCTATCAGCAGTTGGTCCTGTTATTCTGTCCAAGCTCCTGCTTGACCCATCTAGGCTCAAACACCACCACCACCCCAGCCCCGCACACACTCAGGTACACTCCAGCCTCCTGTGGTACACACCGAGTAACAGCTGGGCCGACCTAAGACCTGGCAGCTCCCGCCCAGGGTGAGGGGCAAGGGTCACAGCTTGGGCAGTGGTTGGCAGGAGGGTGGGCAGAAGCCGCAGCGCGGCCTCAGGAAGGTCAGCTTGCTTGCATCCCCTCATCGCTAAGACAGAAGCACTCCTGACGCTACCCCGCATGTTACTGTGAGTACTAAATGCACAGCCCAGAGTGCTAAGCAGCATGCGCTCTGACGGGAAGCTGCTGGTGGTGTGGTGGGCAGATGAGGGGGACTGGATGCCTGCAGAGGGGCTTGTTGACGTCTCCATCTGGGGTCGGGAAAGGAGATGGCCACACGTGGGGCATGACGGCGGCTGGGGTGGCTGAGCTGCAGGAGGAACACTGAGGACGTGGCCTTGAGAAGGTCCCATGTTTGCTGGAATGAGCAGAGCAGGGACGGAGAAAAGAGGAGAAAACGAGGAAACATCCCAAACCCCAGGAGGACTTTCATGGAGAAGGGAGCGAAGAGATGGAGGACCGATTGAGGTCAGGAGGAGGGAGGCTGTTCGTGTGTCCACTGGGAAGTGTCCCGGAGGCCAACGGTGACCCTGCTGGGAGAGTTTCAGCCCTGGGTACAGAGGGAGCGCGCCTGACACAGCGGAGGAGCAGCAGCGAGTGTGGGGAGTTTTTAAGAACTGACCGTGGAAGGGAGGACGAAGCGTAGGGGAGGGGCAGGGTTAGGGTCTGAAAGCTGACCTGGGCACAGCCAGGGGAGGACACAGGGCAGTCCGCAGAGACAGGGCTTGGGGAAACCCCAGGTGCCCACAGGGAGAGGCAGGGTCTCCTACCGCTGAATGCAGTCAGCCTAGCCCTGTGCCCCCAGCGCTGCAGTCCCCGAGCCCGGCCGTACCTACAGACTTGGTCCGTGGAAGCCCCTTCCGCAGAGAACCCGGCAGCTTCTCTGGGCCCGGGAGTCCCTGGCGCTCAAACAGTGACTGTGGGGGAAGCAGAGGAAATAGAGGTTTCAAGGCACTGAGCCCCCAGTTCTCCACCCAGCCCCAGGCTGCTCCTCCCACGCTCTCCTCTGACTGTGCTGGTGCCCGTGGGGCCTGGACCCAGGAAGCAGTCCCAGACCCTGCCTTCAGGCAGCAGGGGCCACGCGGACAGTAAAATGCTGCAGACACTGGGTGAGGGGAGTGAGGGAGGGAGCAGGGGACAAAGATGCACCCTGGGCTGGCGCCGTGGCTCACTTGGCCAATCCTCTGCCTGTGGTGCCAGCAGCCTGGGTTCCAGTCCCAGCTGGGGTGCCGGATTCTGTCCCGGTTGCTCCTCTTCCAGTCCAGCTTTCTGCTGTGGCCTGGGAAGGCAGTGGAGGATGGCCCAAGTGCTTGGGCCCTGTACCCCATGGGAGACCAGGAGAAGCACCTGGCTCCTGCCCTCGGATCAGCGCGGTGCACCACCGTGGCAGCCATTTGGGGGGTGAACTGGCGGAGGGAAGACCTTTCTCTCTGCCTCTTGCTCTCTCTCTCTCTCTAACCCTGCCTGTCAAAAAAAGAAAGATGCATCCTGATGGGAGTGACGTGAGCTGCTTGAGGCCAGAGGCACCGGCAAAGGGAGGGGAAACCCCGCAGGTGCAGCCTCCAGGGGGCTGAGGGCCCACGTTCCTCCGAGAGACTGGCTCCTCGCCCCCGCCTCAGAAGAGGGGATGCGCCACGCTGGCACCCGGCCCGAGCCCAGGGCTGCTTACACTGATCTCGGCAGGGGTGATCCTCCGACTGGTGGGCCGCTGTTTGACGGTGGCAGCTCGGGAGTCAGCCTCCGCGATGTCCGGCCTCAGCGTCGGCTCCGCGGCCGCCGCCAGGATCTCGTCCAGCTTCTCTGTGCAGCCAGGGGGACAGTTCCTCTTCAGCACCACTGCCTGTACGCGCCAGGCCCAGCCCCCCTCACCAGCGCTGACGGCAGCAGGGCCCCGGGAGGAGGCCACGGCCTGCCTCCCATCCGAGTCCCTCTACCCCTACCCCAGCCTTCAGGTGACACTGCAGACCCCACCTAAGCAAAGCCTGCCCTGACTGACCACGAGGGAAAGACCAGAGTGGGGCAGAACTGTTCAGTGCTCACTCGAGGAGGTGAGCCACTCTTGGCAGCATCACGGCCCTGACGCACACAGATGTCAGAACGGTGAGCCATCAACAACGGACGGGGGCTGGGTTCACTCCTGCTGGGCAGCAGGCCAGGAGTCACCTTCCTCTGCCCTGGAGGAAAGCAGCCCCTGTAGGGGAAACAACCGTGCTGGACAGCGCCAGCCCCCGAGAAAGCAGTCAGGAGCCTCAGACCAGGCAGGGCCGACGCTGAAGGAGGCACAGTGGAAGGCAAGGCACCAGCCATGGCCAGAGAAAGCTTTGTGTGCAGGTGTTTGTCAGAGCAGAGTGTTAAAAAGCAGTGTTTCTGACGACCAGGATGACCTGGGGACATGGGACATGAGTGCCTAAGGACAGTGACAGCTCTGATTGCATCCCTGCTCCGGGAGACAGAGGTTCTCGCCCCTGGGGCGTCCACTCAGCTCTATCCCAGCGACAATTCAGGACCTGCACTAGGGGCTGGGGGCAGCACCCGCACTGTGCCCACCTGGCTGCTACGCCAGCCCAAAGACATCCCACCATCCCCAGGAGCTGTGACTCTGGGCACTGTGCCTTCTCTCCAAGGACACCACCCTGGCACCGCTTGTTGGAGCTTCTATGATCAGCCCAGATGCCTCCTGCCCCTCCCACTCCAACCTGCAGCTGCCCGCCAGAACCTGCTGATGACCTCTGCAGCCTGCTGAGCTGAGACACTCCTGCACCCAATCCAGATCAGACTGACCCTGCCACTCTGTTCTGACCTCCTGTCTCTGACTCAGTGACCTCACTGATAGAGCAGACCTACAGTGAGAACGAGCACGTAAGAAGGGCCCACAGCCCTGCAGGCTCTGTGCAGGAGCTGGGAACACACCCACTCTCATGGCTTCACATGCGTGCACCGTCTCCCCAAGCACCGTGGACCCCTGGGAGAGCAAGCACTCTCTCTGCCCTCAGCACCAAGCAGTCCAGGAGCTCCCCAGAACAGGTGTGCATTGTGTGAGGGTGTGCATGTGTGTGTACTGAGCAGTCCAGGAGCTCCCAGAATAAGTGTACATGTGTGTGCGCATGTGTGTGTGCATTGTGTGTACACGTGTGCGTGCACATATGTGTGTGCACTGAGCAGTCCAGGAGCTCCCCAGAACAAGTGTGTGTGTGTGTGCATGTGTGCGCATGTGCACGTGTGTGTGTGTGGTGGGGGGAGGGGAATGTGGCTCCCCCCACCAACAGGTGACAGACCAGGGACTGCGGGCATGACAGGTCTTCCCATGTTTTTGTAACAAGTGAGTAATTTCCTTTTGAAAGCTGAAGATCCCACCACCACCACCTGCCAAGTCCCTGGAGACTTCCAGGGTGCGCAGCGTTTTGTGTTCAGACCCGTGTCACCTTCACTTCACCCAGAAGTAAAATGAAGCTGGCAAAGACATAAACTGCCCCAGATCACAGCCCCAGCAAGTGAGAAAACCACAGACGTGAAGACGGGAGTGGGCCCGTGCGGGTGTCTCCCGGCACACCCTGCGACCTGAGCATCTCTCGGTGTAGGAAAGCCCAGCCCCAGCCCCACAGTGAAGCTCGGCAAAGCAGCTCTTTTGGGTCACAAGGTAATGGCACGAGGGCCAGGAGAATCATCTTCAAAAGGAAGACAAAATTTTTTAACAAACTACAAGCTGACGAGAGTGGCATAAATCCCCAACAAAATCAGAAGATACATTCTTAAATAAATCACTTGGGTACTTTAGACAGGAAGTGAAGTCCACTGCGCCAAGGCCAGGCACTCCTGCTGGCCTTCCACAGGGCCCCTGGGCACGTGGCAGATCCTGGAGGGATGAGGGGTCCACAGGGGGAGATGCTGCCCACCACTTCCTCCACCACAGGCCACAGGGACCCCACTAATAAGCAGAAGGGCAGAACCAAAATATTCCACAAATAGGCAGAGAAAAGGGTCCCAGAAGGAGACCTGAAAACACACCAGGGAAAGTCCCTCCCCTGGGCCTGGGGTGACACAAGACCTGAGAGGGTCAGGGAGTGTGGAGACTGAACACAGCACAGGCCAGTGGGGCTGGGGACAGGTGAGCATCCCCGCCCTGGGGGAGGCCCAGTGGACCCAGAGCGAGGGACCCGTGGGTGCCAGGCACACGGACAAGGGGCAAGTACACACTCCCAGGGCCACCAAGTCCCCTGGAGCTTCCCTTTGCTCCCAAGACCTTGCCAGACTTGGACCTCAGGGCCCAGGCCTAGGCCCAGGTGACTCTGTCCCTGCCTGGACACTGTGTCCCCTGCAGCCAGGCTGAACGCCCAGAATGCACAGGGAGGGGCCTCAAAGGATAAAGGGTGAGTCCGGAAGAGGAGTGGCAGGGTCGACAGCCCGCAGAGGAGGAGGAGGTGGAGGTGGAGGTGTTGGTGTGGGCAGGGAGCACTGTGCTCCTTCCCAGCTCTGAGGGCACTGCCAGCTTGTAGCTCTGCACGGGCGTGGGTCTCGGCAGCCCCCAGAGGCTGGCAGGAAGTTGCAGTGCAGGCCAGGGCCGAGTACCCTGACGCCACACCCTCCCTAGCTCCTGCCCACCCAGCTACATCTGCTCACCTGACCCCAAGGCCCATGGCTATGACCCTCATCACACCCCTGGGGTTGCCCCACCATCATGCCCAGGCCCCTCTTCCGTGCCCCTACCAGATCCCCAGGGGAAAGCCAGCAGGAGGCCGTAGCCCAGGTTCCCAGACCACCCTGACCTGAACGGAGCCTCCTCACACACCACCAGCACCCCCAGGTCAGGGGTCGGGCAAAGCTGGGGCCCTGGGACACAAGCAGATGACTCACCCCCTTTTCTTCTCCGAATGGAGGCTTGGAATCAAGAGACAGAACAAGCAGTAAGAGGCAGGCTTCATCCCCCAGCACCGGCCCCCTCCACACTCACTCCCACGCCCCCTCCCTGCCATCCCACCTCTCCAGGGTCAGGACCTCCCAGATCCTCCCACCCAGCCCAAGGAAACTCCAGGAGGAAATAACCACACTGTACGTCCACCCACCCATTCGTCCAGACACACACGAGTGGAGACAGACAACACACTTGGTCCAACCTAAGCCTTGTTGAGACAAAAAGGGCAGAAACCAAGTTCTGAGGCCACCAAAAACCAAGGGGGCCCCTTGAGTGTCCGTGCAAAGCAGGTTTCAGACAAAAGGCAGAACAAATGTCAGCGACACTGAGCGTGGCACCACGATGACATCCAGATCACAAACAAAACAACGACCCAGAAGTCACAGCCACGTCTAGATAGCTCCTGGGAAAGGGGACAAACAGGAGGGGCCCTCCCTGACCTGGGCCCCCGCCGCCCTGGTCCTGCTGAGCGGACGGAGGGGCTGCGCTGCCTCGCCCCGACCCTGCCTCTGTGACCACTCTCTGGCTTTGTTCATCCCATTCCCCAGCAAGAGCCCCCTCGCTCCCCTTCCTGCTGCAGGCCTTACCTGAGCCTCCTTGCGGGCCACCTGCGGCCACCTCACTCTCCCCTCCTTCCCCGTGCCCGCAGCATCTGCGTGCACTAGACTCAAAGGGCTCTACCAGTTTGGCAGTGTGGCTGGCAGAGTGGACACGTTTATGCCCATGATGACCCAAAAGGTCTTATTGCTCTTTTAGGAGCACAAGTGCTGTGTTGTGGATTGGGTACCTGGGGAAACCCTGCAACTGGCCTGGCTTCCTCCAGCCAGAGGGAACTGGTCAGAAGCCCAGCAGAGGGGCTGCCTTCCTTGGAAAGGGTGGTTTTCGGAGCCCCCGGCTACCCTGGCCCTCCTCTGGACAAAGCACCATGAACAGCCAGTCCAGTCTGTAAGCACAGGCAGAGGCTACGTGCCAAGTGACCCCTTCATCCTCTGCCAGTCTGTTCAAGGAAAAGCTGAAAGCCGAGTGAGGTCCCTGTCCTGAGCTTACATAGCAGAGAAAATGCCCAGACGGAACCAGAGAGGATGATGAGCTGCACTCATTCATCGGTTTCCAGACAGAAAAGCCCAGTGAGAAGGTGATTACTGCTTTAAAAGGCGGGTTTCCAGGGTTCCAGAATTGTAGAGGCCAACGACCCCTCAGTGCAGAACGCAGGGTCCCTTCTAAGCACGCAGCTGAGCATGCCAGGTGACAGCCTATGGCAGAGAACTACAGAGCCTCGGCCTGGTGTCCAGACAGACGCAGCTGCCTACAGGTATTGGCTTAATGGTCAGTTTACAGGTCAGCTCCCTGAGACTGACCTTTGGCCCTTGTGACCCTGGAGCCAGAAGTCAGCTGGCTTCTTGGTCTTGAGTGAGCAGGTTTAGCTGGGTATAGAATTCTAGATGGAAAGGTATTTTGACTTAAGAATCTTTTTAAAAGATTTATTTTTTGAAAGGCAGAGTATCAGAAACAGGGAGAAAGGCGCAGAGAGAGAGAGAGAGAGAGGGAAAAAGAGAGAGGAAGAGAGAGAGAATTGTTCATCTGCTGGTTCACTCCCCAAATGTCTACAGCAGCTGGGGCTGGGCCAGGCTGAAACTAGGAGGCAAGCCCCATCCGGTCTCCCACGGGGGTGGCAAGGGCCCAGGGGTCCATCGTGGGCTGTCTTCTGCTGCTTTCCCAGGTGCATTAGCCGGGAGCTGGATCAGAAGCACAGCAGCCGGGACTCAAACCCATGCTCCGTTATAGGGTGCTAGCATCTCAATCAGCTTAACCCCTGAACCACAGTGCTGGCTACTTAAGATTTTTAAACGGGCCGGCGCTATGGCACAGTGGGTAAAGCTACTGCCTGAAGCGCCAATATCCCATATGGGTGCCAGTTCAAGTCCCGGCTGCTTCTCTTCCAATCCAGCTCTCTGCTATGGCCTGGGATAACAGTGAAAGATGGCCCAAGTGCTTGGGCCCCTGCACCCACGTGGGAGACATGGAAGAAGCTCCTGGCTCCTGGCTTCAGACCCACACAGCTCTGGCCGTTGCAGCCATCTGGGGAGTGAACCAGTGGATGGAGGAACTCTCTCTCTGTATCTGCCTCTCTGCAACTCTCTGCCTTTCAAATAAATAAATAACTTTAAAAAAAAAAAAAGATTGTTGTAGGGATAAACTGAATTTGAAGAATCTCATAAACGCAAGTTATTAATTTTTAAAAAAATTTAAAAACTGTTGTTCCATCAACTCCTGTCACTATTAATGCTGATCCAAGTATGTCAGAAGCTTAAGCTGTCATTCCTTGCCTTCTCTCTTATAGTTTTTAATTTAATTTTTAAAGATTTATTTACTTATTTATTTGCGAGAGTTACAGGGAGAGGGAGAGAGAGAAAGGTCTTCTTTCCATTGGTTCACTCCCCAAATGGCTGCAACGGCTGGAGCTGCGCCAATCCGAAGCCAGGAGCCAGCAGCTTCTTCTGGGTCTCCCACACGGGTGCAGAGGCCCAAGCACTTGGCCATCTTCTACCTTTCCCAGCCACAGCAGAGAGCAGGATTGGAAGAGGAGCAGCCGGGACTAGAACTGGCGCGTATATGGGATGCCGGCGCCGCAGGCGGAGGATCAGCCTACTGCGCCACGGCACCAGCCTCTTATAGTTTTAAGGTTTTCCTATTTGGCCATGGTACCCTGAAGTTTTACTGAGACAGATTTAGATGTGGATCTGTTTTTATTTTCTCGCTCAGGTCTTACACTTCTTCAAACTAGAATCTCACATCTTTGTTCAATTTTAGGAAATTCTTAGCCACTTACTTTCCTAACACTGCCATTCTTTTCTTTCCTCTGGGAGTCTCTTGGGTAGGTGCTGGGTTCTACCTCCTCCACGTCTCATTTCTTTTTTTAAAAGATTTATTTATTTATTTGAAAGGCAGCCTTACAGAGAAAGAGAGGGAGAGACAGAGACAGAGGGAGATCTCCCATCCACCGGTTAACTCCCCAGATGGCAGTAACGGCCAGGGCTGGGCCGGGCGAATCCAGAAGCCAGCAGCTTCACCCTGGTCTCCCACATGGTGTCGGGGTCCAAGCACTTGTTCCATCCTCTGCTGCTTTCCCAGGCACATTAGCAGGGAGCTGCATCAGAAGTGGAGCAGCCAGGATACAAACTGACCCCCACATGGGATGTGGCTTTCCCAGTTCCATCCTCAGCCACAATGCTGGTCCCGCCTCCATGTCTCTTAACTGTTCTTCGTTTTCTAACTCATTGCTTCTTTTCTAGCTGGGTTAGGTATACTGTTTATCTCAGACATGGATATATTTTTTTTAGCTGTAACCATACTTTCTGTTTCAATAGTTCTTTAGAGATCCTTTTTTTTTTTTTTTTTTTTTTTTTTTTTTTTTTTTGACAGGCAGAGTGGACAGTGAGAGAGAGAGACAGAGAGAAAGGTCTTCCTTTGCCGTTGGTTTACCCTCCAATGGCCGCCGCGGCCAGCGCGCTGCGGCCGGCGCACCGCGCTGATCCGATGGCAGGAGCCAGGAGCCAGGTGCTTTTCCTGGTCTCCCATGGGGTGCAGGGCCCAAGCACCTGGGCCATCCTCCACTGCACTCCCGGGCCACAGCAGAGAGCTGGCCTGGAAGAGGAGCAACCGGGACAGAATCCGGCGCCCCGACCGGGACTAGAACCCGGTGTGCCGGCGCCGCTAGGTGGAGGATTAGCCTAGTGAGCCGCGGCGCCGGCCTAGGGATCCTTTTCAAATGTGCTTATTCTGTCCTGTTCTTCTAGGAGGAGTTCTGTGAGCTCTCGTAAGCTCTGTAATAATTTACACATTTTACCATCTCTCTCATGTACCCCTGTGACTTCCAGTTCTTCGGATGTTGGTTCCTGGCCCTGGGCTTGGTCCTGGCTCTCCCAGTTCTCACAGGTCCACGGCTACACCCGCTGGCCTTCCGAGGGCCTCTGGCCCGCACCCTTTGCTCCTGGGCCCTGCACTGTGGACTGTGGAAGCATCGGTTTCCTCTACTCCCCACTGGCTTTGTTTTCTCCAGTTTTGAAACCTGCAGATTCCTCTCCTTTGGCTTTGCATTATCTGTGTGGCTTCCTACTTTTATTTTATTCAAAATGCTCATGGCACAGAAAGCCCTGACCATGTCACCCATTCTATCTTGGTCGCCATTCTCCACACGAACCAAACTGCAGGCAGCAGTACCTGCCTGGAACGGGGCTGCCGAGCTGTGGCGAGGGCAGAGGCAGACCCTGTCCGGGAATTCTGGGGCCAGGGCGGGGGCTCCTTCCACAGCTGCGGCAGAACAAGACTGAAGCTGAGACTGGGTCTCAGCTGAGAGCCAGGACCAGACGCTTCCAGGGATTTGAGACTAGAGCCAGGGTCCTTTCTGTAACTGGAGCCACAGCAAAGTCTGATACGAGGGCTGGCTCAGAGTCTGTAACTGGTACACGTGTCGGAACATGCCCAGGACAAGCTCTGGGGGACTGGGCACCCCACACGGTGGTCAATGCTTGGGTGCATCAGCACACAAACCAGCATGATGGCCACGTGCACTGTCAAGCATCAACATGCCCCATCAAAACCCAGCGCCCCTGGCGCTCACCACGGCCGCGTGAGGTCACCAGGCTGCAAGTGGGGGCCAGGGTACATGGAGCACAAAGGGGACACAGACAACACCCGGCACAGCTGACGCAGACCCCAAGGTGCCTGACCAAAGGCAGGGTGGTGACAGGGAACCAGAGGATGTACTGCACACACACAAGCTCACACGGGCACACACCAGGGCACCCCTGTCCATCCCCAGCCCCGGCCCGAGCCGCGCAGCCCTTGCATCCTTTCCACGTGCCAGCCCCTCCTCACCCCACAGGAAGCAAATCACCCAACTGCCTCAGCACCCCAACCCATACGTCTGACCTGCCCGCGGCCACCTGTCCCTCCTCTCCTATGTCTCTGCCCAGCTTCAGCCCCACCCTGGCCCCCCAGCTACCCACACTGCCTGTGTCCACCCTGCCCTGGGCTATGCCTGCACTGTCCACCCCAGCCCCTGCCAGCACTCACCAAGTTCCTCAAGCTCAGCTGTCATGGACTTGGAGCGCAGGGTCAGCGTGGTGCTGGGAGCCCTCTTGGGGGGCGGCGGGGCTGCAAAGAAGAGGGAGGCCTTGGACCTCCTGTCCAGCAGCAGGCGGCGCGGCGTGGCCAGGTGCAGGTGCCACTTGCGCTCCACCGCCTGGATCTCCTCGTACTCCCGGGAGGATGAGTCGCACTGTGCCAAGATCTTGTTCAGGCTGCGGCTGGAGGCGAACTTCTTCATGGCGCTGAGAGCTCAGGGCAGCTGGGGCCTGGGGGGCTCCCGGGACCCCAGAGCCGGGCCTCAGCAGTGGTCAAGGGCACCAGCAGGGGTCACAGTGCTGGCTGGCCCTGGTCTGAGCACCCACCCTGCAGGTTCCAAGGGCCAAGCCAGAGGGCACCAGGGCCATGGGATGGGGGCTGGGAGGAGGGTCTCCCGGCAGAATAGGCTCCCGTTGCTCCAGGGTGCCCCCCGAGCCCAGGGGACCACTGCCCCTTGGTGGGCCAGGGTGTGGCCGGCCAAGCCACCGGCCTGGCTGGGCCAGGCAGCAAAGGCTCCGTGGCACAGGCTGTGCCGCGTCGTGGCGCGGGGAGAAGACGCTCTTCCTCTTCCCTCAGGTGCCGCCTCCCCCTTCCCTCCGACAATAAGCAGCAGCAACAGCGTCAACCTCACAGTTGCCATGGCAACCCCGGCCTCCAGGCAGCTGCCGGCGGTGTCGGGAAGGAGGCTCTGCCACGCCAGGGGCTGGGGGATGCCGGGAAGGAGGGGGTGGGGATCTGGGGAGGGGCAACCCGGGGTCAGGGGTCAGAGGCCCCAGGCCAGGGGCAGGTTGGGAGGGGACCCAGGAGGAGAGTGGCCCTTCACCTGCTGCTCTGACTCTGAAGTCGGGCAGGGACAAGGTCAAAGGTCCAAGGCCCAGAGGCCTGAAGCCCCCTCACCTCTGCGCCGGGCCGCATCCTCCTCGGGCTTCCGCGTCACCGACACGACTTTCATGACCAGGCGGTTGCCGCCCTGGCGGATCAAAGCCACCACCTGCTTGTGTCCAACTTTGACCACGTTCACCCCGTTCACCTGGGACAGACAGGCAGCTGTGGGGGTGCTGCAGGGCATCCCCCTCGGGGCTCCCCACACGGCCCTGCGCTGCAGCAGGCCTCACCTCAATGAGGAAGTCTCCTGTGCGCAGCCCAGCCCTCCAGGCCACCCCCTCCACGTCCACGGACTCGAGGTACTGGAGCGCAGGGAAGGCGGGTGTGGGCGTGAACTCCTCAATGGGGGTCTCTGCTGCAGGGCAGGGAGGAAGGCGCCTCACAGTGTGGCTCAGGCGGGGCGGCTGCCACACAGCCACCTCCCCACAGTCCCGTGCGTGGAGCCGGTGACTACTGGGGGCCCCAAGTGCAGCACGAGAAACCCCCACCCACTCTCACCAGAAAGACCCCACTCTGCCACCTCCCCCACAGCAGGGAGGGCGGAAACCATGGGAGGAAAGCAACGGCTGCACTGTAGGGCATGTGCCAAACCCAGACAGAGGGAGGGGCCGGGGGCACAGGAAGGGGAACAGGGAAGGGGCGCGTCCCAGAGGTTGTGCGGCTTTGCCCTTACCTTTGGCCCCCCGCAGCACGAAGCCGAAGCCCTCGTGGTCCCGCTTCTGCAGCACAGCCACCTTGTCCTCAATGACGTAGTCGCTGGCACAGAGGGGTGGGGGTGAGGTGAGCCCCACAGGCAGCTCGACAGCCAGGCTGACCATGGAATCCCACAGGCCCAGGCCACCCCAGGGCTTGCCCCCCACCTCCTCTGACCGCCTCACACCCTGGCCTCCAGGACTAGCTCTGGCCTCCCTCTCCTTTGGGCACTCCGCCTCCAGCCCCCACCCCGGGGCCCACGTGACCCAGCCAGCCCCTCACCCACGGGCCCATACCTGTGCGAGGTGAGGCTGTCATAGGAGCCCACCGTGTAGTGGCGGAAAAGCCGCTTTGTCCGGTCCTCTCGGGTTTCTGAAGAGAGCATCAGTAGATGACAGCCGGTCCTGGTGTCCAGCTGGCCTGAGCTGCTCTCCACTGTGCTGGCCACCAGTCTCTGCCCATACACACCCTTAGCCTGGCTGTTGCCCACATGCAAGTGGAATCCCAAACCACGGGGTCCTGGGTACAGAGGGACGCTGTGGGAAGCATGCAGGGGGTGGGTGCCGGAGGGGCAGCACCCTGAGTGCTCTCCCGAGTGCACGCAGCTGGACACGGGGGACAGGCACAGCCAGAGCCATTCACAGGATCAGTGGGCCCCAAAACTGAGGGCCAAGAAGGGAAGCAAGTGTCACGAGCCTGCAGCATGTGTGAGGTCCGTGTTCAGGCGTGTGTGTGTGAGCCCGCAGCATGTGCAAGGCCCGTGTTCAGGCGTGTGTGTGAGCCCGCAGGCATGCGTGAGGCCCGTGTTCAGGCGTGTGTGTGTGAGCCCGCAGGCATGTGCAAGGCCCGTGTTCAGGCGTGTGTGTGAGCCCGCAGGCATGCGTGAGGTCCGTGTTCAGGCGTGTGTGTGTGAGCCCACAGGCATGTGTGAGGCCCGTGTTCAGGCGTGTGTGTGTGAGCCCGCAGGCATGTGTGAGGCCCGTGTTCAGGCGTGTGTGTGTGAGCCTGCAGGCATGTGTGAGGTCTGTGTTCAGGCGTGTGTGTGTGAGCCCGCAGGCATGTGTGAGGTCTGTGTTCAGGCATGTGTGTGTGAGCCCGCAGCATGTGTGAGGCCCGTGTTCAGGCGTGTGTGTGTGAGCCTGCAGGCATGTGTGAGGTCTGTGTTCAGGCGTGTGTGTGTGAGCCCGCAGGCATGTGCGAGGCCCGTGTTCATGTGTGTATCTGTGTGTGCATGACTCACAGGTGTGTGCATCTGTGTGGGCGTGGCCTCACTGTGCTCACCTGCACTGGCATGGAACCGGCAGTGTCGTCAGGTGACCTCCTCACAACAGCCTCACGGGGTCCCTTGCTCCAGACCTCGCCCCCGAGTTGGGCAGAGGGTTCCCGAGTGGGGAGCTGGGTGTCCTCTTCCCTGCCCTCAATGCGAGCCAGAGTTCTGCCCTCATCTGTCTCCTTGATCTGAGTCCCTCACGGCCACTGGGGAGCTGGCCAGCTGCAGTCTGCTGCCGGGTCCTGTCTCCCTGGCCTCCTGCATCCCTCCCCAGCAGCCTGCAGGTCTGAGTCCACTTCCTGGTGCACAGGCTCCACTCGCAGGACCTCAAAGGCCCCCCAGGTGGCGCCATCACCCCTGAGCACCACCTTCCTTTCCTCTTGTAGAGTTTCTGAAACCCATTTTTCCTTCAACAAGTACTTTTAGAGCCCTCACTGTATACCAGGTGCCGTGTGCTTTGGGATCTGATGACACAGCAAGGTCTCTGTCATCTATTCAGGGAGAGTGGGGACAGGCAGCTGAAACACATACGTCCAGCACAGCCAGCGCTTTAGAGAAAAGCACACAGGGAAAGTCCACAGCTCTAGGGTGATGGTCTGAAGGCCTCCCCAGCAAGCCACAGCTCCGCAGAGGTCCAGGATGGGAGGCAGCAGCCTACAGCTCTGCGGGCAAACATTCCCAGGAGAGGACAGTCAGGGCCAGGCCCACACCAAGGGTGCACCTGAGAGGCAGTTTGGGGGCTGCAGCACAAGGAGCTCGAGAGAGGGCAGGAAGTGAGGGCAGGAAGGGGCCTGTCTCTCTCACTCATCGCGGGCTTACGGGCATCTGTCTCTGCAATCTTAGCACCCGGGACAGCACCTGGAGCAGAAAGGCCCTCTGCGTGCTGGCTGGCGGGGCAGGAGGATCTGTGATGGACAACAGGAGGATGCACGCTGCAAGGCACAGATAGAGGACAAGGGGCCAACTGGCAGGTGAAGGGAAGGAGGGGAGGAGGGGTGAGAGGGCAACAGTCAAGGAGCAGACGGTGGGCGGCCGGCAGATTTGTAGGGGTGGGGAACGTCCAGCCTGCAGGCCACGAGGGCCCACAGAATCACTCAGTCTGGCCCTGCTAAAGGCCAACTGCAGGTGCGACTTGCAATTCAGTAAGTCTACAGCAGGCTGGTTTTTAAACTGACAATGTGTACGGCCCATGAATGATGTTATACGAATCCAAATGGCCCTTGGCAGAAGAAAGGTTCCCCACCCTGGATTAGGGAGAGCCTGGGTGGCCTGGGCTGGCTGGGGGACTGGTGGGTGAGTAAGGGGGTGGGACGTGTGGGGACTCAAGGACAGGAGCAGGTGCAGATGGAGCAGAGGCTGCACAGACGGAAGCTCCTGTCCATGTCCAACACAGGCCGAGGCTGCAGGTCTCTGCCACTGACCTGAGTAACCCTCGGGAGTGCACAGCCCCCACTGGGCCTCTCCCTATACAGCAGGGAACTCCCCTAGAGGACCCCTCAGGCCCTGAGGCCTGTCATCCCCCAAGCAACTCTCTTCTCTCTTCCCACACCAGGGCCCCTGTCGCTGAGGTCCTCACACACCGACACCCACAGCCCTGGCGCTCTCTAGACCAGCACGGCCAGGCCTCACCACTGTCCAAGGACCTCACACCCCAGGCCCTCTCCAGGTCCAGCCAGCCCAGCAATGCTCACGGTCTCTGCCCACAGAAGGGTCCCCACCCCGGCAAGCTTGAGTTCACCTGCCTCTCGTCATGATTTCTGTTGACCAAACTGTTCTTCTTATATAATACAAATGCATTTCCTGGCCTTCCTAGCCCGTCACATGAAGCCAGCTGGAGTGACACTGCGCAGCACAAGTCCCGCAGGCAGTGCCCCCCTGGAAAGAAAGGGTGGGTGGGAGGAGAGGCAGTCCCATGCCTGTCACGCTGGGCCTCAAGGGCCCTACATAAACTGGCCCCAGAACGCAGCACCCCCTGCCCTCACAGCTCAGCTCTCTGCTTGCTCCACACCTCTGCTCAGTGAGGGACCAGGCCAGAGGTCCTGATCCAGCCCTGTACCTGTGGCTACAGTAGTCCCTCCTTGGTCTTCAAGTCCTTCTCTGTTCTCACTCCAGTCCCAGGAAGATTGTTTTTCCTTTGGATCTAGGCCTGTTGGAAGCAGGTTCCTGCTCCTGGGCTGCCCTTTGGCAGAGCCTGGTCTCTGGGCCCCAGATGGGAGTTTCTGCTCAGAACAGCCAACCAGGCTCACAACGGAGTCTCGGTGGACCACAGCTGCTCCCACTCCACCTGCAGGTCCCTCCCATGAAATTCTCCTGTCCACCCAGGTGGCTCTGCTGTTCACTCCCCCAGGGTCACATGGCCACAGCTGCTGTCCCAGTCTAGGAACTCAGCAACTGCCTGGAGGTTTCCGCTCCGTCACGCCAACCTGCTCTTCTGCACCCTCCCTTCTCTGTAACCTCTGTAGCCTGCCCAGGCCTTGATCCCGACCCCATACAACCTACAAAGCAAGGCAGCGCCTGCCTGGTCTCTTCCTGCAGCAGTGCCCTCTCTCTCCTTGACCCCCAAGGCCACCTGAGTGGCCTCAGGCTCCCCTTCCAGCCTTGCCACCCCTCACACAGCTAACTGCCTACCGTGTTGCAAAAGGAGCCGGCCCCTCAGGGCCAAGTGGTGCCCTAGAAATGCACTAACAACAACCAGGACAAGTCAATGGCTTCTTAGCCAAAAAAGTGGCAAAACCGTGCAAGCGCCCAGGGCTGCTCCAACACACGGTGCTGGCACCTGCAGCCAGAGAACACCATACTCCTCCCACCCCAGTCAGGTGACCACGTAGGGGACGCGGCACAGGGACCCCTACCCTCTGAAGCCCTCTGAGTCCCTGCTAGCAGGCTGTGAGCTGGGCTTAGCTAACAGCAAACACCTAACACTTGTTCCTCCCAAATTCTGACCCTAGCCCAAACCTGCTTCCCTCCCTCCTCAGCGTCAGACAGGTCCAAACACTCCTGGATACACACAGTTCACGAGCAGAACTCTCATCACCGTGACAGGCCCTCCCTCAACGGGTCCAGTGGGGACCAAAATCCTCTCCCACCTGGACCTCGCCCCATCTGCCTCCGCAGCACAGCACAGCAAAGGGGCCCAATCCCTTCCCCGTTCCATACTGCCAGGGGAGCCCCGTGGGCAGGCAGGGGGCAGCCATTCAAGAGCGAGTCAGCAGCTGAACTGGCTCCCTAGGCCTCCACCAAGGGGCCACCTGGTGGGCTCCCTTGGCAAATTCTCCAACCAGGGAGGAGATGCAGCCACCCAGGCCTGAGCCCCTGGCATGCAGAGGGTGGGGCCCGTCTACCCTCAGTCCAGGAGCACCCCTTGCTCCACTGGCTCTCCAGGCCTCAGGTTACACCACAGATCAAAGGGCCTCCCAGGGCCCCAGAAGGCTGTTGCCAAGACACACACATGGTCAGCTCTGGCCTGGGGGTCTCCAACAGTGGGCCCCTCAGATCCCAGGACACAGGAGTATACGTCCTGGGAACCCGGGTAGTCGGCAGGGCTGCACGGAAGCTGTGCCCCAAGCCCAGGAGCTGTGGCCTTCACCTTCACTTCCCCCTGCTGTCTCAGGGCCCACCTGCTGCCCTCAGACCATCCGGGCCACGGGCGCCCATGACAGCCCCTCGGGGCCCGACTGGCCTCATTTCCTCTTGGCCGAGCCAGGCCTCCCTGCTCTGCCCACTTGGACAATCTGTCCATTTTGGAAAAACGCCTCTTTTCTCACACTGACCTCCTTCCTTGTCTGCCAGCTACGCATGACTCGCGCTCCAAGCACCTGGTGTTTCTGTGAGGACACTGCCGGAGTCACATGTGGAGTCTCATGGGCAGAGGCGTGGCCACACCCATGTGACTCTTGTGGGTATGTCCCATGGATGCCCACTGCGTAGGTGGCGTCTGGCAGTGTGCACACAGGCACACATGTTCATGAGTTCATGCATGGTGTGTCTGTGTCGGACACGCAAGTTTGCGTCTACTTCAGGTGTGTCTGACGTGACATCTAGTTCCTTCTCTGTGAATACTCATGTGGATTTAGTGCCAAGAGAGACCAGAGGGAAGCTGGCAGGGGCATGCGCTTCGGGGGCTGCTGGGGGCATGGTGGGGTCACTCACCGTGCCTGGCATCATACTGTCTCATCTGCACCTCCTCCACGCAGTCAGCAGGGAACCAGCCTGTGCGGCCCTTCACGGTCCCCTCCCAGAAACCGCCCTCCCCAATGCTGAGCACTGGAGGGGCAGAAGCCAGACAGGAGTTAGAGGAGCGCAGGGCCCCCGCCCCGCCCCCCCGCCCCCCACCCTGCCCTTCCCTTCCCACATCCTCCTGGCTGTCTCCCTGGGAAGATTTTGGGATCCACACAGAAGAGAAAAAGGAACAGATGGGCTGAGCTCGGGATGGGCATGTGGGGGACAGAGACAGGCGGATGGACACACTCCGGGGGGGCAGAAGGCAGGGGCCACCATCCTGGCCCTCACCAGCTGATCACCCTGCTCCCACCTCCCTGGCCAACCAAGGGCCACTGCCAGGAGCCCAGGGCCAGGGTGCTGTAGAGGTGTCTGGGAGCTGAGTACCCCACGGATGACAGAGACCCTCACGTCACAGGGTCCCACGACCCTGGAAGCCTTAGTGACAGAAACCCGCAGAACACACAGACCCTCTCCCCGTAGGGGCCAGGGCTCCCCCCTTCCCCCCGCCCAGGGATTCCAACCCAGCAGCCCTGGAAGTGACTCGGGAGAGGGCAGAGGTGAGGAGGAACCCCAGCAAGGTGGACGCCGCTCGGGCCGGAGCCCTTCACGGGGACGCGAGGAGTCCCCCGCGGCAGGTGCACTCCGCACAGCCCAGAGTCGCCCCCGAGGAGAGAGAGCGCCCTGGCCGGCCGCCCCGGCCCCTCCCCGCGCGGCCCCGCCCCCCGCGCCCCTCACCCTTCACGGCCTCGCCGCGGTGCAGCGGGATCTCGCCCTCGCCCTGCGGGCTGTGCGCCTTCACGGCGATGAACTTGCGGCCGGGGACGGCGCTGTAAAGTTTCCGCTTCGGGCCCCGCGGCGGCGGCGCGGGGGGCGCGGGGGGCGCCGGGCCAGGGCCGGGCGCGGGGCCGGGGCCGCCGGGCCCGCTCGGGCTGTAGACGAACACGTAGGTGACGGACGCGATGCCGGGGGGCAGCGGGCACGCGAAGCCGGCGCCCGGGGCCTCCATGGCGCTCGGCCCGGCCCCGCCGCCGGCCTCACCGCAGCCGCCGCCGCAGCGCCCGTCGCCCGCCGCCCGCCGCCCGCCCGCCCGCCGGGGGCCCGGCCCGGGGCCGCTCCATGGGCCGCGCCGCCGCGCCCGGCCCGCTCCCGCCAGCGCACGAGCCGCGCCCGCTCAGGGCTCCGGGGCCGCGGGGCTGCGCTCCCGGGCGCGCCGGGCTCGCTCCATGCCGCGGCCGCTCCGCGCGCCCCGCCTCCTCCGCGGCCCGGCTCCTCCCTCTGCGGGCGGCGGCGGCCGGCCCTGCTCCCTCGCTCGCCACCCGCGCCCCTCGCCGCGGACCCCACGGGCTGCGGCCGGCAGCAGAGGGCTGCAGCGCAGGGGTCGAGGGTGGCAGCCGCGGGCTGGGGCGCCGGGGAGCAGGGAGGGGCGCGGCGGGAGCGGGGCCCCAGCCCTCCCGGCTGGGGCCTCGGCCTCCTCACGTCCACGGGCTGGGCGCCCCAAGCCCCTGCCAGGCCTGCGTCCTCCGGTCCCGGACACCTGCCCCTGGCGCCCACACCCACTGACGACCTTTCCCAGACCACTGGGAACAGCCCGAGGTCTGGGTCCTCCACTTCAATTCTGCACGGAGCCTACACAGGCTCCCTAGTACTGGAGAGGCCAGGCCCTCTGGGGCGCCCCAGCCACAGGGGTGGGTCCTTGCCTTCCTTCTGGGCCGCTCATCACGCGGCCACCAGCACTGAACTACTCTGATGCTGCCCATTCTGCCAGGGATTCAGTTACTGTCAGCCGCACACACCAGGGACAGCAGTGGGGCAGGGGCTCCGCCAACAGGGGGCCCCCGACCACCACGCTCAAAGGCTGTCTTCTCACCCAGGACCACGGTGACCCCTGCCCTGCGGCTTTTCTCTCCTTAGTGCCCCAACCTTCCCAAAGGCTAGACTTGCACCCCCTTACCAGAACACCCCCTCGCCTGGACACAGCCCACCTACCCAGCCCCAGCTTTCCATGTTCTCAGGACCCCGAATGTCAGCCCACCACACCTGGCACCCACACACGCTCTTGGGGAAGAAGATAAAGGATTCTGCTGTCCTTACAGGGCAAGTCTTAATTCTGCATCCGCTGCAAAGACCAACACATGCACCCACAGGAAGGAACGCAAGGAGGGACCGGTGCAGCCTTGAGACAGAAACTCCCAGAATGTGGTCTTTCAGCCTCGGGGCCTCAGAAAGACCACCAGGACCGGGCTGTGGGCTGCACCCGCTGCTGTGAGCACCTGCACCCAGGGAAGCCCACTCCCAGCTCTGGGACTCCAGACAAGCCCCTCAGCCGACCCGGGCATCTGGCCCCTCCTCTGAGCACAGCCTCCTGTGTTGTCCAGGTTTCACGAGACAACACGCTAAGGCCGCTCGGCTCAATGGCAGGCACCGGGTGATGCCAATGCTGTTTGCCATATCTCCAAATGCCTCCTCTGTGTCTGCTCTGGGGCAACCAGGCGTGAGAATGCCAGCTCATACCCTCAAGACACAAGGGCACCTCAACTAGCAGCCTGTACTGCGCACCGGGGGTCCCAGAGGGGATCAGCACCTGCCCAGGCAGCCGCCCTCACTGATGAGGAACCCAGGCACAGACTGCCCAAGAGCCAGGGTCCCCCAGCCTCACTGCACAGCTCACGCCGCCTATGCTAGTTCTGGGGATACTGAGTCGCTCAGGATCCCGGGGTTCTCGGGGTTCTGGGACTCAGGGTGAACAGTAAAACAGAAATCACTGAACTTTGGGGGTGGGAGAGGCCAGCGCTGTCCATTGAGGCAGGACTGGGGGTCACTGTAGGCTGGGAGACCTCATAGAGAGGGGCCTCCATCCATCCCCAATCTGTTTACCCCAGGCCACCAGCCCTCCAGGACACCCCAATGAGCCTCCTAGCCCTCAAGTCAGATCACAGGGCAGCCTACCTCTTCCTTCCCCACCGTGGAGGCCCACAGGGAGGCCTGGGAGCTCCCCTCCCCCAGCTACAGCACATCACAACATAGTGCCAAGCACCACAGACGCCTTATCTCCCGGCCTCCCAGGGCCAGCCACTCCTGGCTCAGGTCCTGGCACTTTCCAGGGCCACCCAGCCCCCTGGTACCTGATCTTGCTCTGGCTGCCCCTGCCTGCCGAGGGACCGCTGGCGTCGTTCTCCTGGTCGCCATCCCGGTCACGATCTTTCTCCTCCTGCAGCCTCTGGAGCAGCAACTGGTGGGGAAGGCTTCGCAGAGAGGGTCCGGGAGAAGCGGCCGGCTGCACCTCACCCTTCAGGTTGATGTCGCTGGCCGAGCGCTGCAGTGGCCGAGGGGACGCCAAGCCACTGGGGCCGGCCAGTCGCCGCCGCTTGGCATAGCTGGGCGTCTCCCTGAACGGCACTGGAGGGGCACAGGTGAGACTGTGAGCGACCAGTTGGGTGACCCGCTTTTCCCCGCTACCCAATCCCCCTGGATTTTAAAACTCAAATCCTGTGTTCCAGGCACTGCTTCAGCCACAGGTTGGCTGCCCTCAGACAGGACCTACCACTGAGGGATCACGCGGCAGCCGGGCTACCTCTACTCTGGCTTCAAGGGAGGAGCCTGCTCCTGCCCTCAACCAGATGAAGCCTTGAAGATGCCCAGATGTGCTCTCAGAGCTGCCTGCCCCACAAGCTCCGTCTGCTACAGACCACTTATAGCTAACTGTAGCCAGAGAAGCCATGAGAGGTACTCTAGACTGCAGGCACTGGCGTCATGGCACAGTGGGTTAAGCCATGGCCTAAGTGCCTGCATCCCAGGAGTGGCAGTTCAAGTTCCAGCTGCTCCACTTCCAACCCAGCTCCCTGCTAATGCCCCTGGGAAAGCAGTGGAGGATGGCCCGAGTGCTTGGACCCCTGCACCCACATGGGAGACCTGGATGGAACTCCTGGCTCCTGGCTTCAGATCAGCCCAGCCCTGGATGTTGTGGCCAGCTGGGGAGTCAACAAGTGAATAGAAGATCTCTCTCTGTTTCTCCCTTTTTCTCTGTAACTCTGACTTTCAAATAAATAAATCTTACCAAAAAAAAAAAAGAAGAAGAAAAGATAGTAAGTTAAGGAATATGATCCAACTACATACTATTTACAAGACAATCACTTTTGATTCAGATACATATAAATTAAAATTGGAAAGATAAAAGATATCTCAAATAACTAAAAGATGGATATATTAATGGATATATTAATTAATTAATGGATATATTAATGTCAGACAAAACGAACATTAACATAGAAACTGTGGGGCTGGCGCTGTGGCGCAGTGGATAAAGCCGCCACCTGCAGTGCCGGCATCCTATATGGGCACTGGTTCGAGTCCCAGCTGCTCCACTTCCGATCCAGCTCTCTGCTTGGGCCCCTGCACCCAAGTGAGAGATCCGGAGAAAGCTCTTGGCTCCTGGCTTTGGATCGGTGCAGCTCCGGCCATTGCGGCCAGTTGGGAAGTGAACCAGTGGATGGAAGACCTCCCTCTCTCTCCGTCTCTTCTCTCTCTGTGTCACTCTTTCAAATAAATAAATCTTTTAAAAAAATAGAAACTGTAACAAGACAGAGAAGATCATTATACTCCTATATTGATAGAAGGATCAAGTCATCTAGAAGATTAACAGCTATTAACACATACGTGCATATTTACATACATCCATATTAACAAGCATACCAAACAAGAGAAGACTGACACAATTAAAGAGAGAAGCAGGTGGGTCTACAGTAGCAGTGGAGATGTCGATGTGCCTCCTTCAGGAATGGGTAGAACCTCTAGAGGGATCAACCACTGGGCCCGGAGACACTCAGCTCTTCCACAGAAAATACACCTAAGAAGCCTTCTCTAGTGCACACAGGACATTCTCCAGCAGAGACCATACGTTCATCCACAACACAAGCTTCAATAAATTTTAAAAAGACTGAAGACATACAAAATATCTTCCCCAGTCTTCTCCAATGGAATGAAACTAAAAGTAACACAAAGAACCTGGGGGCTGGCGCTGCGGCACAGCAGGTTAAAGCACAGCCTGAAGTGCCGGTCCCAATATGGGCACTAATGCACCTGGGGAAGCAGTGGCAATGGCCCAAGTCCTTGGCCCCTGCACCCACGTGGGAGACCTGGATGGAGCTCCTGGCTCCTGGCTTTGGCTTCCAGTCGATGGAAGATTTCTCTGTCTCTCCTTCTCTTTCTTTGCAACTCTTTCAAATAAATAAATCTTGAAAACAGAAAGAAAGAAATTTGGGGAATTCACAAATATGTAGAAATTAAACGCCACACCTTGAAACAGCCAATTTGTCAAAAAAAGGGGTCATAAGGAAAACTGCAGAACTCTGAGACAAATGAAAACAAAAACACAGCATAACGAACGTTATGGGATGCAGCAAAAGCAGTACTTAGAGGAAATATATAGCTTTAAACCCCTCCTTTAGAAAGAAGAAATCAGATTGGACAGGTGGTGGTGTGGTTAAAATGCCACTGGGAGGGCCAGCATCGTGGTCCAGCCTGCAACACCAGCAACCCACCCTGGAGCACCAGCTGGAGTCCCAGCCGCTCCACTTTCAATCCAGCTCCTCACCAATGCACTGGGGAGGCAGAGATGACAGCCACGTAGCTGCCCCCGCTGCCCAGCTTCTGGACATTTGAGGAGTGAACCAGTTGATGGGTATCTCTCTCCATCTCAAATGTTTTTAAAAGTAGGGAAAGTTCTCAAATCAATAACCTAATTGTACATCTTAAGGAACTAGAAAAAAGAAGAGCTAATCAAATTGCCAAAAGGAATGAAAGCAAGCAGAAGGAAGGAAATGACAGATTCATTAATTTTTAAAAAGAGAGAGAGAGGGGAGCCAGCATGTGGCTCAGGTAAAGCCACTGCCTGCAGTGCCTGCATCCCATAGGGCTGGCTGGTTTGCATCCCAGCTGCTCTACCTCTTCTTCTTCTTCTTCTTTTTTTTTTTTTTTTTTTTGTTGTTGTTGTTGTTGTTGCTGTTGTTGACAGGCAGAGTGGACAGTGAGAGAGACAGAGAGAAAGGTCTTCCTTTTCCGTTGGCTCATCCCCCCAATGGCCGCCACGGCTGGCGCACTGCGGCCAGGCGCACTGTGCTGATCCAAAGCCAGGAGCCAGGTGCTTCTCCTGGTCTCCCATGCTCCACTTCTGATCCAGCTCCCTGCTAATGCGCCTGGGAAAGCAGCAGAAGGTGGCCCAAGTGCTTGGGCCCCTGCACCCAAGTAAGAGACTCAGAAGCAGCTCCCAGCTCTTCGCTTTGGCCAGGCCCAGCCCCAGCTGTTGCAGCCACTTGGGGAGTGCACCAGCAGATGGAAGACCTCTCTCTCTCTCTCCTTCCCCCCTCTCTCTCTCTTTGTAACTCTGCCTTTCATGTAAATAAATCGCTTTTAAAAATGGCATTTGGGGCATTACTACTGGTCTTGCAGAAGTAAAAAGAGCTCTAAGGTAATTCCACGGATAACCGTATGTCAACACGTTAGGTGAGCTACATGAGGTGGATGGATTCCACCAGGCCATCAGATTACCAAACTGACTCCAGACAAAACAGAAAGTCTAAACAGATCCATCAGTCATCATGGAACTCCCAACAGAGCCAACCACAGGGCGGCCTCACCAGTGAATCCTAAGCACTAAAAGAATTAACATGAAATCTTCTCAAGTCCTTCCAAAAACAGAACAGGAAGGAACACTTCTGAATTCCTTCTGTGATGCCCATATCACCCTGATATCAAGGCCAAAGACATTACATAGAAAGAAACACACAGCCCAGTGTAATCAAGGTAATACATCACATTAATAGAAAAAAAGAGAAAGCTACATAGGCAGGGCCAGCACTGTGCCACGTAGGCTGACCCTCCACCTGCAGCGCCGGCAGCACTTACGGGCACCAGCTCCTGTCCCGGCTGCTCCTCTTCCAATCCAGCTCCCTGCTACGGCCTGGAAAAGCAGTGGAAGATGGCCCAAGTGCTTGGGCCCCTGCAGCCATGTGCGGGACCTGGAAGAAGCTCCTGGCTCCTGGCTTCTGATCAGCCCCACTCCGGCCATGGTGGCCATTTATGGGGTGAACCAGCAGATGGAAGACCCTTCTCTGTCTCTCCCTCTGTAACTCTGCCTCTCAAATAAATAAAAGAAACTAAAAATAAAAAAGAAGAAATGCTACATGAGCATTTTTACTGACACAGAAAAAGCATTTGCCACAAACCAGCACTGCTTCATGATAAACACACTCAGAAAACTATTATTGGAAGGGAAGTGCCTCAACATCACAAGGCGTTGCTATGTTTGAAGATAGTTTGTGTCCCCAAAGCCCCAGCTGTGAGGAAAGGCTTGGTTCCTGAGGTGGTGGAATTGCTCCTGGTTTGAGATGCAATGGCTCGCTCCCACGAGCACACACCCACCACTGCTCTCAGCCACGCGTGATGGTAGACCACGCCCGTGAGCCTCCCACTCTTCAAGCTTGGGAAGCCTCTACTTCCTATGCAACCTGTCTCAGGTGTTTCACTGTAGTACACGGAGCTGAGGAACAGACAGTTCTCAAAACCCCACAGCTAACACCATCATCAAAGGCAAAAGATGGGAGGCTTCCGCTCAGATCGGAACGAGGCAAGGGTGCCGTGTGCAGTGTGTGATTCAGCGCTGGGCTGGAAGCTGTAGCCAAGCAATCAGACGAGGAGCGTAAGGAGAAGGCATCCCAACCGAGAGGAAGACGTGAAGCTGCCCCTACAGCTGCAGAGGGAAGGACCCAGACAGAAAATCCCCGAGAATCCGCCAAAAATCCTACCAGAGCCAATAAACAAACGGAATAAAGTTGTTGGGTTCAAGAGCAACACCCAAAAATTACTTGTGTTCTGTAAGCCAGAAATGAACAAAAAGGAAATTAAGAAGAGAATTCCACTTATAACAGCAGCCAAAAGAATAAAATATCTAAGACTGAATTCAACGGAGGAAGTAAGATTTGTATACTCAGCAGGCGCCGCGGCTCACTTGGCTAATCCTCCACCTGCGGCACCGGCACCCTGGGTTCTAGTCCTGGTTGGGGTGCCAGATTCTGTCCCGGTTGCCCCTCTTCCAGTCCAGCTCCCCGCTGTGCCTGGGAGACAGTGGAGGATGGCCCAGGTGCTTGGGCCCTGCACCCCATGGGAGACCAGGAGGAAACGCCTGGCTCCTGGCTTCAGATGGGTGCAGCTTGCCGGCCGCAGCGCACCGGCCTTGGTGGCCATTTGGAGGGTGAACCAATGGAAAGGAAGACCTTTCTCTCTGTCTCTCTCTAACTCTGCCTATCAAAAAAAAAAAAAAAATTTGTATACTCAAATTTTTTTAAACTGCTAAAAGATCTAAAAAAGAACATCCCATGTTCATGAATTGGAAAGCAGTATTG